ATTCCAGGCAGATGGTTTCGCCACATGCGTCAATTCACCAGCAGCATGTTGCTGGGTCGAACCTTCACGCTTTCACCTCAGAATCAGGAGGGGTGCAGTCCTCAAAGGACTGCCAAACGGAGAGCCTGGTATGGCTGGACAAGGAGAGAGTCTGCTGGAGCCTGTTGAACGTCTCTTTTCATCCATTGGATGAAGGGAAAGCCTGTCATGTCAGCACTTCGATCAGTCTGCTTCAGGGAAAAGCTTTGGCAATTCATATTGAATCCGCGAACAGGATGACCCCTCCGCGCTTCAGATCGAGTCCCTTCGACCAAAGCATCATGGAGTTCCAAAGTTCCATCTCACAAGTTCCAAACCTCGAGCCTGTGGAGAACCAACCAGGTCTATCCAATCTTTGTACAGGATAGTACTTGACTGACAGAAGCGCATGAAAAGGTTAATCAAACCAACACCACTTAGTTTCACGCAGCTTCCATCAACAAGGGTAGCCCTGGCTTTCCTTGTGAGACCAAACTGCTGAAAGTGTTGCGTCCCTTTTCATCAGAAGAAGTGGTTATCTATGCTTTGCATCAACCTCTTACCAAGATCTGTGTAACAAATTGGACACCAACACAAAAGAAAGGTCTTCAACCCACAAGCACATCTCCCCTGCTTCCCCTGCTTCTGTGCGGCCATCATCCAACTTCACCACAAAGCGAAGCGAGTCTTTGTCGCTATCCTGAAAGAGCAAACATCAACCCGTATCAACCTGTTTCGATGTGGCATCTTTGGCCTTTGTGAGGACTTTCCTCGTCGGAATCGTCTACGGGATCGGAATCTTTGGGTCCATATTCAGAAGAATATCGTCACTGCTCTATGCTGCTGGATTTGCCAGATTCATAGGAATTCCATGGCCATTGCTATCAGGTTAGGTTGGAGGCCATCGCTAGTAGATTCATAGGAAGTCCATGGAATTCCTCACTCCAACCCTCCCAATCTGGACCTGGCACTGGAAGTCCACCGTGCCCAGCCGGCCGTTCAGCCGCACCGAAGCCTGCTGGCCGGTGCGGTCTCCGGTGCGCGGCGCCTGCCCGAAAGAACCACCGGTAAAACTATCGGTTGAAAAAGAGATGTTTGCTAACTTTAGTTGGTTGAGAAACACGAAAGCAAGAACTTTATGTTTTTGTAGGTTCTTTGATCTGACCGACACCATTGATCCAGAGTCTTGGACACCCAGACACCCACCCATGGCCAGAAAAATGAAAAAGGATACAGTTCTAGGATTTCAATACTGGTCAAAACAAACCCCGCAGCTGGTCAGAAGTGTTGGTCTGATCATTTCAAGAACCATCATCCCATGCTTCCTCCCTTTTTTTCATCCTCACGGTGTTCACGACCCCCGTTTCATCACCACCACTCCGTTGTCGATGTCTCACAACCTCCGTTTCGCCCCGTTGGAAGGTGTCACCAACATCGCCTCGTTCTTCAAGCGGTGCAGCTTCACTCGGCTCTCTTTCGGTTGGAAGTGCGGTGCCTCGGGGCGGAGCACCAGCTCCACCTGCGATGAGCGGCAAGGCCAAGGCAGAAGCCTCTAATAGCTACGTTCGTAGCGTCCTTGCTACTAGTAGTAATGGCCTCCAACCCAGTAGTTTCTTGTTACTAATAGAAATGCCCTTTGCTACTAGTAGCTTCTTGTTCCTACTAGTATGGGTATGGAAGGATGACTCGTCATGGAATCATGAATGAAAGAAAGCACATCAAATTGTTTGAGAGAATCTCTTGGCATTCCCTTTGTCACCCATTGCCAAATCATATCCATTTGGCACATTTGGGTATCTCATGTGCTGTGTCGGTGTCGGTCAAAATGACGAAGACAGGCTGCCGAACGTTCATGAATTATTATGGATCATACGAATCGTTCGAATCGTAATTACATAATATGTCAAAAGAGGATGTCATTCTACCTGCTCGTTCCACCTGCTCTGACCCTCACGGTGCTTTTTCTCTGGCGCACCTCGCCCTGAGTGAGTTGCACTTCACACCGATCAATGCCCACTTTGAAGGTCACCGGCAAGGAGGTCTTGGGTCCTCGCTCGACAGACGGCCCGGCGGGAGATCGGTATCACCGCGCACCGGAGGGATGGGCAAAGGCCAAACGTGAAAAGCTCAGCGGGAAGGAACTGGAACCCAAAAAACCTCGGGCGCTGTGCCTGAAGCAAGATCATATTATACAATATATATATATATATATCTCTGTGTGTGTGGCAATCAAAAAGCACATGTCGGTGGTATGTTCTGGTAGAATCTGCCGCCATGTTGGTGCCGTAAAGTGTCCCAGTATCTGGTACCTGAAGATACCTTGATGTGCCATGTGGGCAGTTGGACAAAGACTTGCAAATCAGAGTGGAAGCCACGCCCCTTTTGCTCAGGTACTGGTGAAGGCAAGTCACCAATTGACCGGCAAAGCCGATAGTCTTTCTCTCGCCCGCGGATGGTCAGCGAGATCTGCTTCTGTTCCTCATCCATGACAACACGCACTTGCACAAGCCGCGCTTGCGCACACGCACGTTTCGCGGAAAGCATAACAAAGGCAAAGCAAGACCGATTTGGTGAGAGTGAAGAAGTTCCGTGTCCAGATGATCAGCCTATAAACCCTTTATGTCTCTCTCCATGACCTCAGCGAAAAGTCCTGATTGTTGGGGCATCTACAAACATGCCGAAGAATCAGGACTCCGGACTCTATTATATATATAACATCTCCAAGACTCTTAGACTCCACAAACATTCCCTGGCTCCAGACTCTCAAACCACCTGAAAGTACAAAGTTACGGTGAGCCCTGAGAATTGCATATGCAACACAACCAACCCATGGCGGTCCGTGAACCTGTGGCTTGTTTTGTGCACCAGCTCCCTTGGCGAAAAGATTCCAATGGTCTGTGGCTGCTCAATTCCAAGCATTGCAGGTCTAAGAGAGGAAAGATTTTCCCAGTGAAGTGCACATCGTACATAGCAGTCCCAACTTTCCAAGAGTGCACTGGCCCACAAGCAAGGTCATTCCAGACGAGCTTCAAACCTCGCCACTACCGTGTCCTGCCACATTCACAGGCATCAGGCACTAGCATTACTAGCGGCAAAGTTAAGGCAAGCAATGGTTGCAGAAAGGAGAAAAGAACGGCTGTCTCCAAGTGCCAAACCCCCCCCTAAGGGGTAGTAAATGGACACCCCTTACAAAACCTCTAACTCTAAGGGGCTTTTACAAGACCCCCCTTACTTAGGAAGTCCTGGTATTGGCTTTTTCATGCAACTTGGACTTGTAAAGTCACATCAGCAGTCCTTGGTCGCCCATTTAAGGGCCTCCTTGCACTTGATGACTATGTGAAAGCGGTTGCAGTAGAAGCACCGTTGACCTGAAGAGGCGACGCCCAGCTACCCTTCACGGAGCAACTGGATCTTCTTTGGGGGGTGGTAATAGTGGTTCATTGAGGGAGATACAATGTTATGATGTTGTCATGACTACGCGTTCTCCTACTTTAGAGAAAATCACTTTCTTCAGTTGGTGAGCAGGAAGTCGCTGTCAGGACCCTGGCGGCAAGGCAACTCTCAAATACAAATGTCTCATGAAATTGAAAGTCGGCTACAATGTCCCCGATGATCGCCTCCAAGCAACTTCAAGCAACTACCTCACTGCCTGACAGAGGCGATCATCACCATGACTACCTGACCACTCCAGCCTTAGACTCTCCATCCACTGAGTCCAAGGGGCTGAAGTGCTCGTAGTAGGCAAACTCCGTAATGCCCTCCACAGGGCGCGTGTGGTGGTTCCGCGGTGGTCGTTGGCCATCAGGGCTCCAAACGGTCGGGAAGGCCATCAGCAGGGCACCTGGGAGGCTAATGGCCCATGGCTGTCTGGGTGGCCCATGTTGGGAGGACAGAAAGCATGCCCATCCTTTTGGAACCACTGGGGGTTCCGAAGACAGGTCTGATTCTTTGTTGTCACCCTAGATGACAAGTCTGAAAATTGGCCATGGAGTGGTTGGACAGAGGGCCCCCCTCAGTTTGAAATTGTTTGAATATGGGTATTTCTTTAAACAAGGGAACCAGCAGAGACCCTCAGCAAAAGGAAAGTCTATGATGTCTTTTGGTTGGGGAGCATGCAGCTAGTCAAAAGAGCCAGTAAAGCCCAGAAAGTTCATGACTCATAACCTGTACTAGCGAATCATCAAGACATGAGCGCCACCCAAGTGTCAGTGGTAACTTTGATCTTGTCTTGAAATAGAACTGCTCGTCATACTCATTTCCAAAGCGCAAGATTACCTTGATCGAATGGGTCAGTACAGACTACAAGCTTGGCAATGAACCCCCTGGGCAAAAGACGCCTCTGCATCGGTCACAGCATAACATCTCAAAGATCGGTGGGACACCCAAAAATCCAAACTACCACACCAGAACATTCAGGGATTTCTGGCATCCAAATCTATATATCAATTATATGCATATAATATAATATAGTATTATATATATATATATCGTTGGGTGGAAATCTGCACCTCTACGAAACCAAATGATTGCGAGGGAATCTCCCACCACTATACTCCGGATTTCGTACACATGTTATGAGCCAAGTATATGATGTATACAAGATGGTGCATCCATTGTGTTTGGCACGGACATGGCACCTGGTTGAAGCTGTAGCGGCTTCAAGGGATCCGGTTGTGCTCCATCTGGACCCTCCAGGTGTGTGATCTCCTGGTGGCCAACGACTGGTTCTTCTGCCTATCGCCTGGCTTCTCTGTCTTTTCGCGGGGCGTGAGGTTCAATGAACTTCTCATAGAAAGAGAACAACCATTTGACTAATGATCAATTTATCTTCTTCGTCGAATCCGTTTGGTCTATTTCAGAAACTGTCAGAAACAACGACTGACCTTGAGGACTTCTCTCTGACCTTGAGGACACCGATGCTCTCGCCCCCCATAACACGCCCTCGAACACACTCCTGTGAGAGTGCGCTGGCGGCTTGCCGCAGCACCGATCCGTAGGGAGTGCTGCTGGACGTGACCCAAAGCCATGCCTGACCAGTCCGAACCGCAGGAGGGCTCGCCACCCGCGCCTGTGATGTCCCACCGGGAACTGAGGATATTGAGAGGTCCAAGCACACGACTGGGGGGTATATATCCCCTCTGTGAATCAACCAACCACTAGTGAAATAAGGTAAAATAGGCCATCTATGAGCGCTGCGACCTCTCTGGGTGTGCCAAGATGTGGCTCTATGCCTAACACAGACACAGCAGCATGTGGCGCTTTTGAGCATACCAAAACAAACCTGTTGCTGGTAGCTCCACATGATAAAGGAGGTCACCTGATCACCTTGCAAACCTTTTCAAGGATGGGCTGTCTCACAGCATGACTGAAAGCCGCGCTCGCAGCCCGTTTTCGGTCGCGCGGTGCTTCTTTCGGATCGGGCTCCACTGGTCTCTTTCCTGAGCCAACAATGGGAGTCTGGTCCATGTGTCCAAAATCAACGGCTTCAGGACCCCCAAGCATCCAGGAATAGTAGTAAGGCCAGGAGCCCCTAGTAGCGTCCTTGCTAATTTCAACTATGAATACCTGAGTTCCAAAGTCGCTCGCTGCCTTCCTCTTTCATGTCCTCTTCTTCATGCCAGCGTGGTTGTGAAGTCGGGCTTCTGATACAAACAACTCATCACCCGTCGCCAAGGTAGTAGCTACTTGAGCTACAGCGACTCCCGCTTGCTTCTACTAGCTACCTCTAGCTACCCTACCTCACCTCTACTCGGCCTACCCCACCCAAAAAAGAAAGAAGGAAATGTTGAACCTGGTCATGCTCAGTTAGTGCTCAGTTCATGAAGTTCCGGGAGTTCTCAGTTCTTAGGGTTCGTTTGTTCTATTCCCCTTTTGGCGGACGGTTTTTCGGGGAGAGCACACTCATATTCTCAGACTCGATCACCTGCAATCGAAAAACCACCAAGGTCTTCAGGTCTTCCTCAAGCAAGGGGCCAATTTGGCAGACGCCATCATCTCATAGAGGCCTTTGGGCTCCAAGTTCTCCCACTCACGGGCTATGGCGCGTAAACCTCGCGCCGATTCGCCTGCAGTCCAACACACAAGCCCCGAGATCCTGTGGCTCAAGAGCCCCTACTTCAGGTGGTCACCATGCAACAAACATTCAGGGCAATGTCCTGATTTCATGCTCAAGGAGCAAGCGGGCTCCAAACAAAGTGGCACGAACGGACAAAGACTTCAGGGCATGTGGTGTGGTGTGGTGCTGTCCCTCTAGATCTTCATGTCTTGGCCAACTCCATGCAAGGTGAAGGCTCCAGTCAGGGAAATTACAGTATTGCGTGTGTGGAGGGTCGATTTGCAGTGCATGTGTAGAGACAAAAAAAAGTAAAGAAATCGCAGGAATCAAACGAGGAAGAACAGTTGCAGGGCTGGGCAGGCACCACCAAAGAAAAGCATGGTGACCCACAGCTGAGCTGGACCTTGGCTTGTAGCTCATGGTACCTTTGTGATTGGACTCGCTCTTTGTTCAACATGAATATATGCAGCTATGTCTGGTTTCTGATACAAGGTCTCGTTTAAAAATGGCGGGTGGCAGGTGATCCAAGTCATCTGATCACCGCTAACTAAAGACATTCAAGCAGCCTCTCACACAAATGGAATGAGGTTTTATTTGATTTATTGTGTTTAGAATTTAGAAAACAAAAATGAAAAAACTTTCGAAAGCAGCATTTACCCTGCAGCCCTGACTGGCTGAAAATAATTGTATACAATTGAAATCATAAATTGAATCATTAAGAAAAACAAAAATGAAACCATTATAACCACAAATGAAATCATTTAAAACAAATTTTCTTTAAAAGAAAAAAACAAACACACAAAACAAAACAAAAATACCAAGTACTGTGATAACAATAACGTTTCTGGCCAGAGCCTGGCAGCCACAGATCATCTCTACCCGCCAACAAACAAACAAGCAAGCAAACAACAAGCAGAACTTCATTCCCAGTAGACTAGAATCCACCAAATGCCACGGGTTGGAAGCAAACAACACTGTGTAGTGTAGTTGGATGGTTGGGGGTTGGGGCAGGTTGGCGGGTTGGGTGGGGCAGTCAAGTACTGGCCTCCAATGTGTTCATCTTTCAGCAGTCGCTTGTGACGCGTTGATTCTTGTCTCGAAGAAGTGTTGTACCAGTTTCCTGCTTGATCTGGCATGCACTTGGCTTGGCACTCTTTTTGTCGTGGTGAAGTCTGACATACTCACCGTCTGGTACATGTCCAGTGCTGATGTTCTCCATTCTCCATGGCCAGTTTCTGCTGATAAAGGGCTACAGTAGGCTATGTTTGCTTGTCCAAGTATCTGTTGGTACGCTGGTGATGTGTTTGAGGTCTTGCTGGTAAATGTGAACATGGAATGAAACATAGATACAAGAGGACTTGGTTGAATGAAACATTTCACACATCCAAAGCACACAAGCGGTTCCTAAAACATGCTTTGATTTCTCCGGTCTGGTCAAACACTAGTCACTAGTCAAGCGGTCGTCATTGACTTGCCTGGGATTCCCATTGCTTGGAGAGCGGCACGGTTCTCCGCCAGAAAGCATCGCCAAGCCTGAAAGCATTGGGCAAGACATCCGGAACACCACCGGAAATGAATGCAGCAAAATGCAGCAAATCTGAGCATATGATTATGTCCACATCACAAGTCACAGGATTCAACAGGTCGTCAACGCGACGTTCCACCCCCCTTCCCATCACCGAGCTCGTCACCCGCCGTGCATCCACTCGAGTCACCGCCTCGCTGAGTACACCTACCTCTTTTGGGATCGGCTGGCAACAGCGGTCACAGTTCTTCTGCGGCGTTTGCCGGCACTCCACGCACACGAAGCTTAAACGACACGCCATGCCTTTGGGCGCCTGGGCCGAAGTTCAAAGCAAAGATTGATCAAAAAGGTCCTCAAGAAGCATGTTTAATGATGACTGATAACCTTGACCCTGAACATGCAAGAAGAGGCTACATTTCCTCAAGAAACAGGAAAGCCACAGGCTACAAATCTCTACGAATTGGTACAGTAATTTAGTTTGACAACCCATTCATGAGGTGTGGGATCGAGGCATTCGAGAAAACTCCACAACTGCCCAAGGTGCCGTCGTGTATCTCTTATAGTCGCGCAAAAAGACCACTCCACAGTTGGAAACGTTGGCTTTCCAAACAGGTTGGCCATCACTAAACTTCAACTCTCCTGGGGGCAGATAAGAGGTTCGCTGGAATGCCTTTCTGGGTGCACTGTACAGACTCTTCCACAAGCTCAAACATTGGCCTTGGTAATCAATGTTGGAGTTTCGATAATTAAAATGTTTAAAATGTTTGCATTTATATATATATATACTGTATATATCACAGCGCTCCTCTGTACACAGTGTGTCTTCTCTATCCATTCAATCCATCCATCGCATCCCGTTGCTTCCTTACGTGATTTCTCTTCGCCTCCCTTCTTACCTTCACTTATCTTATATAATTACAGTACAATATGTATATATGATGGTATAATCTAATATGTGTATAATATGTATCCCTTATTTGCTGCTTTCGGTTTTCCCTTCCTTTATCTTATTCATGTTAATTTCCTGACTACTGTTGCTTTCACTTCTATCAGCTTCATTCCTGCCCTTCCCTCTCACCACACTCCCTTCCCTTCTCTTCCGCATGTTTTCCATCCAACCTATGAGTCTCAAAGAATGCTGTGCTTCGTGGTTCTTGCTACCAAAGAATGCCTGGACAATTGGTTTGTAAATGGCAAGCATAACTAGGAGTCCGGTGTTTACAAAAACCAGCGCTCCTTTCTCGTCCTTCTTTTGGTCATAAGCAGGTGCTGGGAGCCGAATATATCCTGGGCGCACGGGGCGCTCCAAAGACGACAGAAATTCATCATAGCCCTGACTGCGCATCAAATCGCTCGGATCCACAAAATTGAAATGAAAAGATTTAGATTCCTACCTATAAACTTATGATCACAATGGTCCCAAGCTTTCCAGGACTAAACCTGTGAAAATGCGCTGCTTAATCAGCCAAACTCATTTGATTCTCAAACTTATATGAGACCAGGTCTTTGCCGAACATCGGAAGCTTTGAAGCTTTGACCCAGGACATACTTCTCATAGCTGTGGCAAACCTGGTGCTTTGATGATGACCTTCCCCATGAAACAACGAAATCAAGGAGTCAAGGAGGTGCTTGACTAAAAACCCCACGAAACGGACCAACAAGCAGCTGCTGATGAGTCTGAACCTTCCTGTGGCCAAACATCCACCGACCCCAAAAAGGAGGCCGCGCCACAGAAAGGCCTGTCTTGTCGTCTTGGCCATGGCACGGTAGAACTCTCGCACCAACTTCTGCAAGGCGTTCGCGGCCTCTGCCTGGTGTGCCTCACGGCCCCCCCAAGCTCGCCGAGATGCCGCCCTTGCCTCGAAGCTGCAGAGCAAGAAGCTACGAACGGAGCAAGGATGCTACTAGGGGCTCCTGGCCTTACTACTAGTAGCAAGAAGCTATTAGAAACAAGAATTCAATAGAATTAGAAGTTCAGTGGCCTTTCTTGGTTGGCCCGCTCGCCCCCTCCCCACTTAATTAAGGGAGAGGTAGCAAGTAGCAAGTACCTACAAGTGGACGCTACTACATACAGACGCAGGATAGCTCACGCTTCTTCAAGGAATCTCCCCCCGCCGCCCCAAAGGCGGCGGGGGCAGCTTCCATGAAGAAGCGCTCGCACTAATGATTTGGTTCCTAGATTGTTTGGAAAACTTTAAGTAAGGGCGAAGTAAACTAGGAGAAGTTCGCTCCGCTTCTTCACAGGAGAGTTAACACTTCTTCAAGGAAGCGCTCACACCTTTCATTTGGTTCGATCCAGGCAAGACCTCCATCTAAGGACAATGAGGATCAATGAGGTGAAGCCCCAAGGCTGCTTTCACGGATGTAGGACCTACGAAAACTCCTGCGATCCAATCCACACTCACCAAGGAGCCACTGTCAAACCTACTAACCAGTAGGCAACTCCTATAGTACCTGTGCAGCTAGCTAACTACCCATTTGCCCCCACTGAATCGTACTGATAGAACTGTTGTGTTGTTGGTTTCCGGATTCCATTGCTGTACTGGGCTTCTTCTTCTTCTTCTTCTTCTTCTTATTCTTCTTCTTGTTCTTGTTCTTATTCTTCTCGCCTCGTATGCTGGTTCTTGAAATCTCAATGTCAATCACCAAGACTTGGAATCCGTGAATCATGAATGCAAAGTCCCCGTATGCATTCATGTTCAGTATGTCAATCCATAAACACAATGAGCACTGTCCCAAGTCCCATTATAATAAGACTTAGTGGCAAACGATGGCTGGTGCACTTTGATAATTAACCCAACTGCTCCTAACATTTGCAGCTTTGCCCCGTAACATGAACATCTCCCAGCCAAAGCCGACATGTCTGAGCGACTCTTGTAGAAGGCGCCTCAACAAATTCGAGGCCGAGAATTCGAGGTTCCGCGATAACGAGTCCAGATGGAAACAAAAATGTCTGAGTGGCTTAAATAAGTGGCCAAGTGTGTAAGCTTTATGGGGAAAGATGTCTGAACATGTGACGTGTGTTTGTTCTCGAAGCCAACCATCTTTCCAGAAAAATCCAAAAGAGGAAAGCCTCAAAAACAGAGCTCTGCTGGCCATCTCTCCACAGCATCTGCCCCCGCCTGGCTTGAAATTCTTCTTGCAGAAGACGCGGCTGAAGCGGAGGACGATATGATCTCGGTCCCAATAGCGCAGGGTCCGTTCCAGGTCGTCCTGCAGATGGCAAACGTGGATCTGTCTCGGATCCCGTGGTGAGTTCCCACCATGAAATATATATATATATATATATATGTCATAAATCATATCATATCATATCATATATCTCGGATCCATATTATATAATATATCAGAGGTGGGCCGTTCTTTGCAAGTCCACGGAAAAAGAAATGAAAGAAGCGTCCTTCACCTGTCCATGCTGAGTGTACAGCTTCGGCTCGTGAAGGACAATAAATCCAAAAAAGGCACCAAAGATCAAGCCCAAGCCTAAGCGCACAAAAAGGCACTACAAAGTTACAAAGGCTGGAAATAGCTGACATGACTCCCGCAGCTCCTATGACTCCTATCTACTCCTATACTGTAAGATGTTCACTCATTCAGCTTGTCGAAGTATGGTTCTCTTTGCAATTTCCTTCGACAAGGGCTCGAATGTGCCGTTCCCTGAAGGCAGCCTCGCTCGCTCGTCTCTCCGCGCTGAGTCTCTCGATCTGTCTGAGGCTCTGCGTGCGCACATGCCCCCCTTCATCTGCGTGCAGACAAATGCCCCATTTGGGCTTTGGGGAGAGTTTGTTCATCACATCTAACGAACAGCCGTGGTCGAGAAAAACAGCCAGTTGTCACCATCGCCGGGGCGCTGGACTTGAGCTCATGCGCGTTTTGGAGAAACATCGTGTTGTTGGTTGGTGAGATGCCCCACCTCAGGCACAGCTGGTAAAACAGTTGTTCAGGTCTGAGAGAAAAGCTGGCGTCTTCAAGCGTTGTGGCAATCGAACAAATCACCTGGTTGCCAAGTCACAGGTGTGCATTCGTTTGGTTCATCTCTTTCGCCGCATGCAGGATCTGCTTCGAAAGGTCCTTAAGAAGCACTTGGAATTATTGGAAAACGAGCAGGTGTTGAGACAAAAAGCATCCAGGAAGCCTTTGAGCCATCCTCAACCAGTAAAATCTACCAATCCTTTCCCACCCATCCGTTTTGGCCTTGCCAGATCAACTACCCCCCTCACCTTATGGCATATTCAAGTTCAAACATGGGATCTCGACACTTGGGCGCACTCCCGTGCCCAAGCTGCCAAGCTGCCAACGTGGCCGTGCAGCGATGAAGCAAGGTCCCCGTCACCCCGGTGCCCGGTGAAGCGTCTCCGGTGCCCGGTGGGAATGGCACGTGGGTCCTCCCACAAGGTCCCGATGGACCGAATGGGTCCGGACGTGCCATTCCTACGAATGGATCATTCTGCAGCAGAGCCAACCTGTGCGTCTCTTCATTGCCATAGGATTGCCGACATACGAGGCTAGATGCGACAGATTCTGATAGCGAGTTGAAACCTTGTCTGGAACTCTTGGCAAAGTCATTGATTGTAATTGTGACGGTAGATCAGCAGTTTGGAGGGCAGCAAAACAGAAAATCCAGGGTTGATGTTCCGTTCTTGTTTGAACATCACAAACTTTATTTAGGGGTCACTTGTTGGAATGTTTGAATGCGTTCATTCTCTTTATATGCTATTCTTGGTTTCCTTCTCTCAAACATCACATCTGTCACCATGGCTCCAGGGGCTCCACCTCCAGCGGGGGCAGCTTCTTCGACCCGGAGATCCTTCCTCGGAGTGTCTTTCCATCAGCGGAAGCTGTAGATGATCGCGAAACGCTGGGGACACCATCGATGGATGTCGTATAGAGGTTGTGATGAGGGCTGATGAGGGACCTGTGGAATCTTGGGGTGTGTGTAGGTGTGTGGGTGTTGTTCTATTCTTTGTTCGGGCGTGACACCAGCGTTGTGCTGCGCTTGTTCTCAAGGGGGTTGTGGCTTGCAGCTGACTGCATCTAACCCCACTCTTACAGCTGGGTGCCGCTCAGTGCAATACGAAAAGAGAATCCAATGGGCCATCATAGGCCACACTCACTGCACGTGGTCGAATGGGGAACAAAAGAATCAGACGTGGAGCCCCTGGAGATGCAAGTCTTGACAAGTGTGAAGTCATCATAGTCATAGATTGAAACTTGAGGTTCAATGTCTCAGTAACCCCCTTCTTGCAAGCGGTCCCGTGGAAACGAAGTGCTATTGCATGGCTATGGTGTACCAATTGCTTCTTGGTCCGTCAGATATTCAATTTCAGTGTGCCGAATGCAGGAATCTGCGTGCTTGTTGATAGCTCAACCCCTTTAATGATGCCTACAATAGCCTATATTGTTGAAGCCTCCCTGCTTTGAGATACAGGTGCATTGTCTTCACAACGACTTTGCACAAAATTTATACAGCTTTCCAAAAACCATGATGTTCCAACTGTTCATCAGAGTCTCTTTCTCCAGCAACACGTTGGAGGCTCACAATGTTGTCATCGCACACCACCACATGCTGACCAATGGGGAAGCACTCTTCAATGAACCTCACCTGGGTGCGGGGGGCGAATCCTTCGATAAAGCGGGCTGAATCAGAATCAAGGGCTGGATCTACCTCAGGTGTTTTTCTGTTTTTTGTTGATACTGACTCGCAGCATCTGCCCCAGTACCCGGAAAACAGACTTGTGCGACATCAAGGCCTCAAGGGCACCTACGCAAAGGAACAGCCCAGCAAATGCACGACACTCCGACTCACTAGCATAGGAGTGGAAAATCCCCTATTTGAAGCGGACAGTAGAGGACAGTAAGTAGTCTTCCAAAATTCCTTTGCCACTTGTATGTTACTGGGTCAGAGTGTACATTTCAGGTTGGGATCGCAATGTTGGAGTTGCTGGATAAGCTCTCTGCCCAGAAGTTGCATTGACATCCCACGTAAGTCTCAAGGTCATTTCTGAATTGAGTTCTCTCTTGAAACTATGTTACAGTAGGAATCGCAACCTGATTCTATCACTAAGACTCAGACTTACATTCTTGACTGGGGTGTGTCGCCAGCTACCCTATCATCCATCCTTATTGATCCTTTACACCAGGAACTGCCGGCGATACATCTGAGAATTACGTCTCAACTAGCTCCAAGTGGTGCGTGCTTTCATGAAGATTATGAAGGCGCGACAAAAAGAATGAAACACAGGAAGCTGAAGCTGCTTTTTGTTCAGCTAAAGCCCTTAAAGAAAGAACATCTCTCAAAGGTCTCTGTGTGTGTATTGTCCAATGGAAAAATACTGACCTCTTCTGCGGTGTTTCGCAGAAAAATAGCCCCACCGGACGCCGAACAAACGCCACCCCCTGCCTGCAGATCGGCACCGCGCACCCCGACGACCAGACGATCGCCAAGGTCGCCCAGGAGCTTCTCATAGCCTCGGTTGGTTGGAAAGAAAGGCTGAAGGAAGGACAGAAAAAAGATCGCAAATTCTTCTGGATGTGAAAAAAGAAGGACCGGTTCTAAGGTGCTGGACTACCTGGATTCATGGACTTGTCCCAAAATGCAGGATCCCCAGCCACGTCTTTGCCGCAGCCCTCGTGGGATGTTGAGTTGGATCCTAAAGATGTCCCATTCATCCAGACTGAACCGACTACCCGCTGCTGCTCGCTGTGCGATCCAGGCGCAGCCCTTGGTGAAATGCGGATCATCGTGCGCCACGAAGATGTGCAAGCGGCGTCGCGACTCGGGGTCCTGAAGGCTCGACGTCGGAGCTCACGCCACGTCGGTGACTGAGCCCGC